AGAGTCGCCGCTGCTGGGCAACCGGGCAGGCGCCGGAAACGGAGGAGCACCTGGCCATCGCCAGGGTGATCGCGCGTTCTAGGTTTCCCCTTCCCCTCTCCCTTTCCCTTTCGATCTGCATTTTGCCCGCCATCGCCGCTGGGTTATCCCGGGCGGCGGAGATTTTGCCGATCGGAAGAGTCGCCGCTGCTGGGCAACCGGGCGGGCGCAGGAAAACGGAGGAGCACCTGGACATCGCCAGGGTGACCGTCCAAGATTCCCATTTTCCCGAAGCCAGAGTTCCCCTTTTGAAAACGAGCCCCTTTTCGCTGCCATTTTGCCCCTAGAAAATTCATTAAAAATTCGGCGTCCATGTCCTGGCCGTCTCTAAAAATATAAATATTTCTGGAGAGGAATCCTGGGCCGCTGAGGTTTACCCCGGCCTAAGACACATCCTTACAAGATAAATTTGTAATAAACTGACATACACTGAAACGCCATTCCCGTTAAAGCTTAATAACTACAAGCTAAAATTAAGAATTCTCACAGTTTCCACACGCGTCGGCGAAGCCCTTTATAATTCACAAGAAGTGAAGCCTAAGGAGTGGGTGGCTTTCGTGGAGACACCAGAAAGTATTAGCTTCCGCATCCCTGAACATTCTTGTGGTAAGCCTCAAACTTAACTTAAGGGACCACGGACCTTCGTTTCATGGAGATTTGGCAACGGCGACTGACAAATGGCAGCGAAAGTATCGCTAATTTTTCGATATAATATTTTTGATAAATGACCTGTTTTACCCAGCTCGTGGAACGAAGGAAAGAAGATGGATATGGATGCTTTCCAGCTAATCACTTAGCGCGTCTCAGGCAGAGATTTCGCGGAATCCAGCCGCCGCACAGTAGCGCCTTTTCTCATTTAGCGTTGCAAAAATCATATCTTTTGAACCAAATAAGGTAATCGAATAATTTAAACGGCATTGGGCAGGTAATTGTTGTAAAATATATATATGTACTGCATAAAGTACCACGCCCACAAATACGCCTTTTTAAAGGGTATCAAAGTAAAAAAATAATTTTTTTTCAATGAAAACAATTTTTACACAAAAATTTTTATTTAATTTTTTATGTTTATTTTTATGTATTTGCTCAAATAAAAATAATTTGAAAAGTGAAAAAAAATTTTTTTTAATTGGAAGTGTAACCGCCACGCGCTTCAGTTAGTATATTTCTTGAAATGTATGAAATTGTGTCGGTATTTTGGTATATTTTACCCTGAGTTGTTTTGGTTTTTTGCGTTGCATTTCCGCAGACGCAGCTCGACGCAGCCGATGAAAGTTAATTCTGGTCCAGGAAAGATCCACGTAACTTGTAGTCATAGTGTAGTCAGTGGCCGGCATTGGCGTCAAAAGATATAGACTACTTTAGGCAGAAAAAGGTGAAAAAATGGACACCTATCAGGTAGCGATTTACCTGTAGAAGCCCAAACCAAAGTGTCGTTTTTTTTAGGTTCTTTAATAGTTTATGAATGTATCTATCATTTAAAGTAAAAACCATGACCATTGGTTTTATGGTTTTTTTGTAATATTACCTGAAAGTCGACCAATTTACACATTTTTTTTGTATGATTCAAAATACGAAACAAAGTTCAACTTTAAATGCTCATAACTTCTACAAAAAAAAATCTTAAAATTGATTTTATTGCAGATTCTGAATCCTTGTTAAATTTCCTGTCGAATAAGTATGGTTAAAATCGTTTTTGCGAACATGACTTTTTTGATTTTTGCAACGCTAATTGTTCGAGAGGCGCTACTGTGCGCCGGACACATTAATCAGCTCCTGGCTGATCAATCAAAGTTGCAGTCTCAAATAGCAAAAGAGAAAAACGTTCTCTTTGCGCCTTCCCCCAAACAAATGAAATGATTACTCTTTTAGTAAAATATAGTTTATACAACTTAATTGTAAAAGAAATTGTAAACTGCTAAATGCAGGAATTTTAAGTAACAAACTAAAACTACATACATAGTCAGATTTCATGGCTAATAATCTAAAGAGTTTCTCTGATTTCAACTTTCTCAAAATGTTTCAAGCTACTTGGATAATAAGTACGAAAGAGTCTTACCTGACTTCAGCTACTTACCCGCAGGTTTTACCCTTACCCTATTGTTTCGCAGAAAGGTTCTCAGGTGTTATGTCCGGACTAATGGCAAAGTAGTTTTTCGCAGTTTTCCTTATTTTGCGAGCTGCCTTCTCGACACTTTCTTTTCCCGCCCGTGTCCCTCAAAAAGTTCTTTACTTATATCTCAAACTTCAGCTAAGCTCCTTGTGTGGGTGGTTATTTGTTAACCAAGCAGCTGTTGCACTCACAAATGCGACAGACGGCATGGCAGGCAACATGGCGTATGAGCAATGCTGCGAGTAAAAGCTTCATGGCGTATGAGCAATTTCAAGAGGGGGAAGTGGTAATGTGTTGCTGGCTGATGATTGCTGGTAGCAGCTTTTCATCGCCTTAAGTTCAATTTTCATTCATTAAGGAAACCTAAGCTCAACCAAAATAATTTCTCATTTAACTTTAACTCGACCTTCAATACAGCAGGGAAACCCTGTAGTCCCCTCCTTGTAATAATCATAACTAATTAATGTTGCCGCCCCATCATTGTCTGGCGAAGAAAGGAAAATCCATAATGGCACAGTTCAAGCACCTTCCCTCGGGGTGGTTTCCCTTCAACACAATCGACCATCGAGGCTGCGGGATACCATCAATTGAAACATTTTCACTTTCATTCATCTCTGACCGACTGACTTCTGCTTGGATAAATTAAATTCAAGTGTCTGGTGTAATTAATTTTCCTGACCCAAAGCGGCAGTCAAGCAGACAAAATTCCACGCTTGACTTACGTTGGCCTTAAATTCGTGGTTTTTCACAGAATGTAACCACAAATAGTCATCGGGCGAACCCTTTTCGAAAGACAATGGAAAGTGCAGGCCTAAAAGTGGGCAATGCTGTCCCCACTTCCGCCTCGCATGTGTATTTGTGACGGGCATGTCAAGTGGCCAACACGACGTACATACGAGAGGCAGGGACCCTGACCAATTAGCACAGGAACTGTCAGTTATGGCCAACTCTCAGGCACGTGCATTTGATGGCCAGCGATAGCCGGAAAAAAGTTTTACCAAGACATAAATCTCCAGTTCGGGCTTCCCAGAGAGGAGAAAAAAAGGCGAAAAACAAGGACGTCAGCAACAGGCGCTGAATGAACCGCAGATGACAACCAGACGAGGCGAACGCAAACATTTTGACAGATAACAGCAACCGCAATTTGGGCCATCGCAACTTATGGGATCGGTTCTTTATTTTTACTGCATCTTAAACTTGGGCTGACAACTTAAAGATGTCACAGTTGGTTATGCTTTCTAGAGGATAATTTAAGTTTTGAAAAAGGCTTATCGGAGTAGAATCAAGTGAGTTCTAGCTTGGCAGGATATGATTGCTTCGTAACAAGTCTAAAGTCTTCTCAGCAATTTCATGTAGCTTTTTAAATTCTTTATTCATTTCTGACTTGAAGAATATATATTTCTTAGTTAAATATAAGAATAGTTACATTCCTGCCAATGGAAGCGCATCTCAATCATACCTCTTTGTGTCCGCAGCAGCCCAAGCTCATTGTTCCCTTCTTCCTGTTTGCCTTCAATAAGTCAATTAAACTTGACAGGATGAAGGATAGGTCCAAATGTGAATCACGGTCTAGTTTCACACTCCACGCATTCCCGAACATGCGCCTCCATTAATCCCACTCCCCCGGCTCAACTCATTGAGGAATACGAACAAAGGCGTTGGGGAAAACATTCATCTCAGCTCATTTCGCACAAAGCCATTTCCATGACTGAGCAGAAAGTGGGCCGCAAAAGAATTCGGCCACGGTTTTTCGGCCTGATTATATATGTAATGCATATTCTGTCATGGGAATTAATAAACATTTTAATTAAAGGGGCCTTAGACATACCGAAAAATTGCAAAGTCTGCACGTGACTGGGCAAACATTTTCCAATTGCCCCCGAACACACACATACACACTCGCTTACCCGGGGGAGCGCAGTTAAAAAGCAATTGAAATGCTATTGGAACATGGCAGTTGAGATCTCCCGGGGGCTGGGTCTGACATTGCATTGACCTTTGCCAAATAGAAAATTCGTTGGAATCAATAATTAAGTGAAAAGGAGAAAAAAAAAACACATCTATATGTAGTCACAAATGACCAGTAACAATAAAGGAGCAAAGAAAATTAAGGCGATTGAAGAGCAAACACAATGAAGCGTGTTCCATACACCAAGGACTTGGACTCCTGACTTTTCCCCATCCCCGCAGAATTTTCCCCAGCCCATGGCATAGACAAATGGCAGGCGGAGAATATGAGCGAGCAAGAAGTGCGAAACAATTGCGTGCTCAACGCCAAAAACGTCAAAGTAACACAAAAATTGGAGCAATGAGGCAGTAAATGTAAAGATAAATGGCCCAGGCCGCTGGGCAAGGGGGAAATGCAAGGAAAGCGCTCAGAAAAAGCGGGGTCAACGAGGCCCAATGGAAGTTGTGTTGTGTCGCGACAAGGTGGCCCCATTCTTTAAGGTTCAAGGATACCGGCAATGTCATTAAAAAGTTGACAAGTTAAAAGTAATTTTTAGTTGATTATTCCAAAGAATTACAAAAATAATATCTTAATGTAATTAACTATATGCCATTTAATATATTTAATTAATCAACTTTACAAAATTAGAAAACCCTTCCAATAACTGTAACCATGCTGTAGGTTTTTAGAAGTTTTTTTTTATTATTATTCATAATTTTGTATTTTTTTAGTTTTGTTACAAATTGAAAATGTTGAGTATATGTATGGATAGGCCGAATGTTGGATGTGTTATGGCAGATATACATATCCCCTATACAGTTTTCTAAATGTTACCTTGCTCCGCAACAGGGGCAATATTTTTTACAAGTACATATAAATAATATTTATATATTTAGCATCTAAAATATACAAAAAAGGAACAATTTATGACACCCATTGACCTTGTGATGTTCGCGGCTCAAATGGGAACTCATAAGTTGATTTTATTGTTTTTATTATAATAAATGTAAATCGATTTTTTTCATATTCTTGCGCTTAACATATAAGACATGATCTTAAAAAGTTGAGAAAATAAAAATAAATAGAGAGTTTGAGTTCGGTTCGGTTATTTTTTCTACGGGAAGTACGCACTTCTTGGCAAAAAGTTTTCAGACTCCCCCCGGCGAGGGGGGGGGTTCGAGCAGTTTTGAAAAAATTCAAACGTTGTTGGCGTATGTTGAGACTGAGTAAGAGAATCAACTCATCTTGCTACTGTCAGCTGATTTCCAGTATTCCAAAGCTTGGTGTCGTTGTTTTGGGGCCCCTTGTGATGCATTCGTTCTTGATGTTGTTCAGGATGTTCTTGTTGTTTTGTATTTCGTTGTTTTCGTTCGTTTACAAAATTGAGCGGTGAGCTGTAGACCGAAAAATGTGCATTATTATTAGTCACAATATCCAAGGGATTGTTTAAGTAAACATATAATAATAATTGGAAATACATGGCGTGCAAAAGTTGTCTCAAATGTTTGCTACAAATGTTAAATACAATTTGGAAAGTCTCTTTAGTTTGGGCAATATTTCAATGTTCGTCAGTAAATAATCAATCCAAATATTTAAGAATTTTATTTATTGCCACAACTATAGAGCCTCAATATCATAACTACTATGTATATATCTATTTTTTGTTAACAACTCTACATGTTTGGGACAAACTAATAATATGGCATACTACAGGACCACTTTTTTCAGGGGATTTTTGGGGTGAACACTACAAGTCATTTGTGTAGCTTCTACAATGAACAAATTTGTCGATTACATGCTGTTTTTTTTATTTTTTTCTTACCAATTTGTTTCTTTTTACAGTTCGTTACATGTAATTTATGTAAAATTAAGTACAAAAAAATTACAGAAGTGCTATATGATTGATATAGCGTCGCTTTGTTATTAGAGCTATACGATTTTTTTGTTTTATTTTTTTCTGATCTTGAATCTATATATTTTGTTTAGAATATATCCTCTGCCTCGGCTGTTTATGATAATTAAGATGTAAAAATAGAAATAATAATGTTAAATATTATTTGAAAATGTCTTGGGAATAATATAATTTAAAAGAAAACCATGAAAGAAAGTTTAATGCTTATTCCCAAAATGGTTTGAATTGTAATCTTTTAGATCGCTTTTACCAAACATTCCTATTCTTAACTTTGTAACCATAATTTTGTGGATTTTAAGCATTATCCTTTGATCTGGTGCAATTTCATTTCTCTCATGCTTTTATGGAAATTTTCTAAGTGCTTTCTAAGGGAGTGTGTTCCAATTCAAAGATATTTACAAACTTTGTATGTACAGCATAGATCTTACCAATCCGAGCCTAATCATAAGATATGGCCAAATGAGCTCCCAATAATTTTGATAATAATTTTCTTCAAAAATTGGTAAGACCAAGATGTGTCGAATCGCTACAGATTTGAATTCTTGAAAATGGCTGCCTAAAAGTATGCTATGAAGTATGAACTCCGCATATAGCATACTTTCAATTTTAAAAGGATTCCAAACCAATAGCGATTTTTGTGATTTATATATTTATCTTTATAGAATATAGAATTTAAGACTTACGTGTCAGGGGCCTGGCTGGGTGCTTGGACCACAGGTAGCGGTTCTTCACCGGCGACAGGTAAGAGTCGCGGGCCACGGGGCTCGAGGCACGGGGCACCGAGGTGGCGCGGAAGGGCACAAGGTCGTCCACGTCCCACCAGAAGGGATCGCGCACGATCGAGGAGATCGGCAAGTTGGGGCTGGGGCTCAGCAGGTCCCTGAACCGGTTGCGGGGATGGAAGATCGGGAGTCCTGTTTTTGTTGGTGGCATTTTCAGTAGCATTCAGAGTCGGCAGGGATGGATGTAATGTCCGATACACAATCGGAGATGTTGTGGGGATTTCAATTGGGTTTGTTTGTAATGTTGTTGCAATGTATACAAGAAGAGCAGAAAGAAAAATATTTTTTGTTTTTGCTATGTTTTTAAACTAAAATAAAAGTAAATCAAATAAAAAAAAACAACGCTTTAACAATCAACAATAATTTGATATTTTCCATGCGTATGTTGGGGTTTCGTTGTGGAAAAAATACCAAAGGGACATATGGCGGGGAAAATGCTTGGGTAAAATGATAAGGAAATGCGAAAGTCGGGAAAATAGATTGATAGAAAGAGGGTGGCATATGGAAGGATGATGCAGAGGCGCTACAGTGGGCACATCGAAATGCGAACCAGTATATGAAGGTGTGTTTCTGGTTTTTATTTAATACGGAATGCAAATCGATTTACTGGAACGTTATTTTAATTTGTTGAAATTAGTACCAGAAAGTTAATTGGATATTATTATATCAAGAAGTAGCATCTTTGATGCTTTCTAAGTAAATTAAATTTTTTTTCAGATAATTTTAATTGTAAAACTTGAATGGCTGTCAAATATCAGAGGATTTCCACTGTATCCTAGATTATTTGGAGTTGCTACTTGTCACTTTCCTTCAGAAAATCGATTTGCATCCGGGGACTAAAAGCACGGCGCTTACACTTCGGGCAACACTGTACTAATTTTGCTGATGCTGCTGGCAAACTCAAACTCAAAGCACGACAAATACTCGTGCTGGCGAAGCCAAAGAGTGGAAATAATTTTGACAAATTATATAGCCACACGTGGCGGGGGTAGACCGGAGGTGGCTGTAGCAAGGGCAACTCGAATGCGTCGCGAAAAATATGGCAGCAATTTTTCAACGCGTTCGCCGCCCATTACCATCATCATTGCCACAACTCCGTCTTCAAAGAAGCCGACAAAAAACCACATCAAATTCAACAGTAACACGCAAATTTCGTCTCTTCTTGTATCGGGACAAATTTGAAATTTTTTTTTTTTAGGTTCTTAGGTGGGCAAGAAAAGAGTGAATTTGGATTTTTACCCTCAGCATCGTAGGCGACTTCAGTGGCACGGGGTCCCCAGCGACCGGCTTTGACGGGAGTGGGACTTGGCGAGCCGGCGCGCTCGAAAATACCGAGTGACCGACCGGGCGCATCGCCTGCTGCCGGATCGGCCTCGGCGATCGCGGGCAACTTACTTTCAAAGAGCTCATCCAGTGGTTCCAGCGAGCTGGCGCGGAAGCTTGGCCGCGTGAACGGGGCCAGGCTGGTGGCGCGGTCGAAGACCGAGGGTCCAGCACGGGGCACGCTGCCCTCGCGGTTCCAGTACGCCGGTGGGGGCACGTACGGCTCGCTGCCGGCACGGGTGCTGCGGGCGGGACGGAACGGCGAGGCCGAGCGACGAGCTGCAATTAGAGAGTTAAGTCACAGTAAGCAGGAGTCTACAGGAGGTGTCCCTATCAGGTCTTTTAAAAATACAGCGAAGAGAGGGATCTTAGCATCGAATTAAAGATCAATCATAACTAAGCCAAAACTCATGAATATCGATTACTTCACTGCATTTTGAACTAAGATTATAATAGCCTTTTATACCTTTAAAAAGACAATTGTTTCGTCCTGATCACTAAATACACTCTACATGACTATAAAAGATCTCTGCCCATCGGTTAATTTTACAATTCTTAAAAGGCATTGCAAGAATTCTGGCAACATATAGACATATCCGAAAGAAAACTAACAATAATATTTAAAAATTTATAGTACACAAATATGATAAATATATTTAATAAAATTTCTTATCTAGATCTAGAGCACAAATCACCTTATTTATCTTGGCGAAGATACATTTCCTAATTAAACTCCTTTGCTTTTCTAGTTTAATTACTTTTCTGCTGCCAGAAACCTGAGAGTCTTGTACTTACCAGAAGTAAAATCACCACCAAACCAACGATGTTCATAAAACGCTTACAATTGAAAGTGAACAACATACTAAACAAAATACATAGTTACAATTACACAAAACTGTGGGCACGAACCAATAGATACAGATACAATAATGGGAATTAAAATTGGGATTCCTCGTGGGAATCGTACAAGTGTCTGCCAGAGAACATGAAACATCAATACATCAATTTTCAATTGGAGAATTCGTTAAATATTTCATTTGAGGTCGTATACATTTTTAGTTTGTAATAGTAGTTTCTTTTGAGTATTGTTGGCAGTTTATTTACAGGCACCGCACAGTGTAATGTGAATTTCTATGCTTTGATTTTAGTAGTGAAACGAGGGACTTGGACGAGATACAACAGCAAAGTGGACGAGGTAGAAGACATTGAGAATATTAATATCGATGGGCGAGTGATGGGTTAGAAAATTAAAGACCAAAACGATTCTTCCGTTGTGAAGAAAAAGAGTTTCAAAACACATGTTGTCTGGATTGGAATTAAATTTGATTTTTATTATTATTATTAATTTGGAGGTTGATTCTTTAAAGTAACTGAAGTGTCATTTGTTCGGGTATAGCTGCCAGTGGGCACAGTGGGCTCAAGTGGTTGATTTAGCGGCAGAAACTAGGCTCTTTTGGTACAGCAGCTGTTAGAAGAGAGGCTTAAGATAATCGGGGATGAATGGGCTTCTTGTTTAGGAACGAATGAGTGGATGGGGCTCGTTAAGAATGTGTTTATTTGATTTTAAATATAATTAATCGCTACAATTAAAATTAGAGTTGCTCCTTTTTATAAATGTTTTGTTGTTGGTTTTATTACTTTTGTTGTTCTTGTTCTTGTTGTGTTTGTATAAGTTAATAATTAAGAAATAAAGTAAAGCATTTGTATATTTATATATATATATATTATACAATGAAACATTTAACGAAATTTTCACTCGATTTGACTATTGCTTCGGGTTTCGGGTATATTCCTTTTTACAGACAAAAGAAATTGATTACAATTAACTCTCGGCTTCCCTACGTATTGTTTAAGTTTAACAGATTTTGCGTAAATTTACAAGAGTCTTACTACGAGCTAAGCAAACAAAAGTAGTTGAGTTTTCGTTAACGCTCAGCGCTTCAAACTTTTATGGCTGCAAAATATAGGGTTTAAACGATAGAGTTTAGACTGAGAAATTAAAATCGTAACAAGTTTGAGAAGAGTCTGCATAAGTTAAGTGTTGGCTGAATTTGAAAAAAATTTCGTTGAGTTCGTCTTTGGATGTTTGATTCAGATTTTGATTTGCTATTTTTCATGTTCGTGCTTACATTTTGTAAATTAATTAAATTAATTTTCGTTGTTGATGTTGTTGTGTTGTTGCTGTTGTTTACTTTCCTGTTGATGTTGGTGTTGGTTTTTTTTGTTTGGATTTCTGGATTTGGTTTTAGAAAATGTCTTTGATATCCTTACCCTTGTTGAGCTCAGCCAGCAGCTTGTCCTCTGGCTCGTACTCCAGGGGCACCAGGGAGTTGGGGGTCAGTGGCTTGTCCCTCAAGTAGAGACCGTAGCGAGATGGGTACCTGCATTGGAATATGTCAAACAATTAAGTAATTCCCTCATGGCGGAGTGGGGACTGTGTTGTACCTGCGCTCGATCTCCTGCATGCGCTTCAGATGATCATTCCAGGCCTTCTCTGCGTCATAGTTAGCTGGAACTGTCCACAAAAACACAAAGTAAATATAGAGGCTCCCAGAAGGCTGTTCCCCAAGCTTGTTAGGTTTCCACAAGGCCTTGCAGCCAACAGAACAACACACACAGATTTGCTTACAGAGAGTGGTAGCTTGAAAGCGTGGGCTCACACGTCGTATGCGCAATGTCGATACGTACGCAATCCCAGAAAGCAATGTTATCATAGCGAAAGCAGCAAATAGAAGAGAGAGGGAATCGGGAAATCAGTAAAGCGTATTAAAGAGCAATATTTTGTGGGTGAGCTACGCCCAATGCCAGGTGAGTTACGGCTCGGGTTAGGTGTTAGGTCGAAACGGAGTTCATAGCAAACCCTTGATGACGCGGATGATGGACTGATGGACTGATGGACTGTTGATGGATGGATGCGACACACCACAGAGAGAGCAACTGCAGATTGTTTAAAGATTTTATTTCACACACAAAACACATACATATATATACAGTTGTATATACTGACTAACAAATAAATCATCCTCTGATCTCTCGATATTTAAACTAAAAGCTACACACAATCCTTTTCACTAAATTTAAGTTGTCTTTTGCCCAGAGAGAACAACAAATATATATATAAATATATATAGAGAGAGTGCGCATAAAATATCAAAAAATGTATATATCGCTCGGACATATATGTGTATTTATTTTGACGACACACACGCTTATGTATATTCTGAAACATTTATGAAAGAGAGAGAGAAAGAAAAAAACAATTGGTTAGTCCAACAAAAAAAAGGCGAAAAAACAAAAACTATAATTCGGGAAAACGGGGTACCAGGTTGAAGGTGGAAACGGGGGGCATGAGGATCTGTTTTTCGCCTGTGTGCTAGTGTGAGTGTGTGGAAATTCGGAAAATTCGGAAAAGAGAACTTTTGGTTTCTGCTCATCGAGGGCCGCCGCTGCCACAGTCATTTGATCCCAGAGCACGCACCAAAAACTGAGTCAAAAATTCCTCTTATGTACCTGACACACGGATATATAGCACATTCAGAAGTTGTGCTCGTGTGTGTGTGTGTGTCTGAGCATTTGTGTATTGTGTCTAAAATGTTTTTTTCTTTTTTTTTTTGTAATTTTTGAGGTCTTTTGCCAAAATCAACACAAACGAGTCGAAGCGAAACTTTCATTGACGTAATAGTATTTTGGCTTTTTGCGCTGGCATTTTTATTTTTAAATTTATGAAATCATAGCGGGCGCGCACACAAAGACTTAGTCGTAAAGGAAAAATCACAAAGTTATGGCGGATCTGAAATTCTGAAATTCAAGGTGTTGTCAAAAGCGTTTCGTGGCGCAGGCATTGGCGAAAATGCAATTCTGAGATGATCGGCAGATGGAGAGTGATTGAAGTGACTCGGCTAAACTGACGGACTGAGTGATTGATTGATTGATGGCGCGTCAGAGCGAGGCAAAAAAGCTTAGGTAGCTTATTACGTTCGGTTTCACCGAAGCCTTTATAGCCTTGCAAATCTCAATCAGGAGTCTAAATATAAACAAATCTATATCTTAAGTTAAAGCTTGTTTCCCAACCCATTTCAAAATTTTAATCTTTGCTTGAATCTAATTTTGATAATATTATACTGAACTTTTAGTTAAACTAGTTGATTTGAACCCATAATTTAAAGCCAGCTTTTGAACTGGAAACTACAAAATCGGACTCCACAAAATGTAAATTATATTATTCATCTTCCTGATTTTCTTCTATTTTTTTGCAAGGCTATCGAATCGAGAGTTAGGCGGGGGAATCAACTATATATTGCGTAGAGAATCGCAGGACTTACTTGTTCGGCTGTAGTGATGATCGTAGATGGCACGGGGCGAGTAGCCGTAGGTGTCGCGGCTCACTGGCAGATATCTGTAGCCAGAGGACTGGACGCGCTCGTTGGCGGTGGCGGGCTCGTCATAGATGCTCCTGTAGGTGGGCGAGTCCAGGTAGGAGCTGTAGGGGCGAGAGGCCCTGGGCGCCTCGTGGGCGCGGATATCCTCGGAGCCTATAAATAAGTATTTGGATAACCGAACGTTAGTCCATTGGCGCTAGAAATATTTCGGCTATTTTCACTATTTGGCTCAATGCCAGAGGGGGGCAAAAAATCTATCTATGAGTCTGTGCTTTGTTTAGAGCCTCGGCAGCACATATTCTACATTTTTCTCTCTACATACTTTTGGGTGGCGAAAAAGCTTTCCCAAGCATATGATATGACACCTGCCAAAAGAAATAGACTATATATATAGGCCAAGCTATTTGTGTTGCTCACTGCTCAAAGTTTAATAATATATGTATTTCGGAACGCAATTGAGTGTCCCTAAATCAGAATGATTTTTGAGTATTAATAAGATTCAACATTTTAATTTGGTAATTAAGTTTCTAAGTCTTCATTTTTATTGAGTCCATGCTCTAAAAGTACCTATATGAGCTTAAATTAAATAATTCTTCTAAAGGTATCTCTGCAAATTACTTACCCTTCAGGGACCTGATGTAGGACTGCCAGAATTTCGCCTTCTTGCTGGGGCTCTCATTGCGCCCAATCATTTCCAAATGGCTCTTGAACATGTTGATCGATTTGTTTTGGTTTGTTCACGAAATAATCGTTGAACTCGTTCGCTGCAATAGAGTTTGGGGTAGAAAGTCGTCTTTTAGAAAATTTTCCAAAGTTTGAGCACTCCAATCTTATTTATTTCCCGAGAAAATGCCTGGCAGCACACACGAATCCGAGTCGTTTTCCCCTCGATTGATGCGTTGTTATCTCAGTTTGGTTTTTTCGCTTGAGCGTTGAAAGTCTCTCGGTTCGAAAATAAACAGGCTGTGTGCCACTTTAAAGCAGTGCAAAGTTTATAAAATATATACATATAGCTAATATAATACCACGATCGGACAGCAGCAGCCACCGCAAGATCAATCTCACTAAAAATACATTTATTTTTCTTCGGTTTTTGTTGTTTTTCATTTTCTTGGGGCGGCTGCTTCTGGTTTGCTCAAATATAAAAATATTTTTTGTTGGATACAAAATTCACACTTCTGTGCCTGAGAGCTGGCAAAATCGTATATGTATATTCGAGATCGCTATATATATTTGTTGTATATATTGTTATCTATATCTGTGTACGAGCTGCAGCTAAGTTTTCTTTTATTTTTAAATGTCCTTGAGTTGAATTCGTTTTGTTATGCTGGCTTTCATGGGAATTACTTTAGTCTTGAATTGCGAAATTAAATTGCAAAAAATTGTAGAAGCTTTGAAATTTTATAAATTATTTATTAAATAATTTAAAAAATTAAATGCAAAATTGATTCGTTCTTGTTTTGTTTTATAAACGTTTCACTTCACGCTCGAAGCACTTCGGTATCAAATGTCATTCCGTATGATCCTCTTATATAATCAATGTCTTTCGCTTTTCATATTTTATTCATAATTCGGCCACATAATTTTGCATTATTTGTCACCAGGTAATTGTTATTTTCTTCACGGTATTTCTGCGATAAAAGCACTATTCATTCAATTGTATTTAATTCGTTTTGATTTCGTTTATAAATCCTTTTTAATTTCATTATTTTCCATTGGTATTTATTATTCAGTATACTTCGGGTTGGCTTACAATTTAAATTTACTCCTAAAAAATAGCGATCTATCCTCAACGAAGAATTTTTTCAAACTGCAAACCCCAAGAAAATTCGCCTCACCAATTTCCCTCGTTTCAGAATTTTGCCATTCCGTTTCGGCCCCAAAAGCACGGCGCATTCCTTTACGGCGTAGGTTGGCCCCATCCGTGAATCGCCGCTTGCCTGTCTGTGTGGGATGGGTTGGGATGGGATGGGAAAGCTCCGAGTGATCGAGTGATCGGTTATGGGAAAGCTTTCTGCTAGATCGTGTGAAATAGCCATAGCCACGGCCACCCATAGCCACCCATAGCACCCACTCATTCAAGACTCGTATCGCGATGACGCTCTGGCAATGATCATAAAAAGAAATCCCACGTATATGATCCCATATTTTGTTGTTTCCGAATGTCCCAAGGCATGTTTTATATTTTCGCCTGATTGTTTTCTGGCTTCCCGCATAATTTTAACTTTGCTCTCATTTTTTTTCTATACAATCACACATATATCTTTCCATAAATCCAGAGTCTTGTACTTATTATAAGTTGTTTCAAATGCTTTCTCTTTCTACTGATGTATATTTTATATTATTTTGTTGCATTGCACTTGGTTGGCCCAAAGGAAGTGCGTCAATTGTGGTATTGAATTGATCAATGAACTCGGCGCATCCATTAAAATTATCACAAAATCACAAAATGATGAATATATTTGCTTTTGTAAATACAGTATATATAAAAACATTGTATTAAGATGTATATAATATTTTGTATTCTTTTTTTTTAAAGGAAGGTATAAATACACAGATAAAAACAAGTTAAAAAACAAATATACAACCTTTTAAGTCTATGGGTATATACATTTTTACCATTCACATTTTTTTGAATGTTTACTTTTTCCTTCGGCTTTGCTTTTACTTAAAATCGAAAAACCATTTGCATGTACAAGCCAACATAGTTAAATAAACAAAAACCACCCAGTAAAATATAACCCCCAACTTTGAACACCAACAAAAAATATGTGATAATAAATCAACTTTGAATACCAGGGAATATTATTTAATTGCTACTATTTTCGGAAAAGCTAAAAAGAATATAACATAAGCATTAGCATTGTAAATGTAATATATAATATTTAAAATAAAAACATTGTGAGGAAGCAAAATCTTATCTATTCCTTTATACCAATTTAAAATTTCTCCTGAAATTATAATACTCTATTGAAGGGTACAAATTTGACTTCCCACGTGCTGCCTAATATTTGGTAATATAAACACAAATTATTCAACAGAAATTCCCCTGAAAATGTATAAACAAAGACAGCGTAAAGCCAACCTAGTCCTCTACAATTACAACGGGTTGAAGGGCAGATCAGAGATCTTTCCCTGGGAGGTAGTATATATCTGGCTATTTATAGGAAATATATTTTCATGGAGACCGTAGTGACCTTACATGGGTCTTCCGGTGATGTGTTTTCTTTGCTCCGTCAAGTCAAGGCCAGATGCAAGTGCATTCAAACGTTCTTTTGACCTTGTTTATTGTTGAATTTTACCCTTAAACAAACTTTTGAACGTCATTTAAACTTGAACTTGACTTTCATTAGCCGAATGCGGTTTAACGAACCAGAGCGAAAATTCGAATAAAAAAATGCTTAGAAACTCTGGGGAAATTGGGAAATACCTGGCAAAGGTTTTTCAATTGATTCGGTGATTAAACTTTTACTTTCTGGCACACTTTTTTGGCTTCTCATGTGCTCGAGTTGAGCAACTATTTATTTCACTTTCCTTTTTTTTTTATTTTTCCAATTTAAATTTAGATTGGCTTGCAGTTCAATTAGCATTTTAAAATTTCTTTGATGTTGCGGTGAAGGGCACCCAGGATCAATGTACCCAAAAAAGAACGTGGATCTCTATCCAGCTAAGCAAATTGAAATAATTAAAATTTCCAAGTAAATGTGTATATTATACTATAGACGCCTCTTGAGAAATGAGGTCAAAATGTAAGCTCATTATTTAGCGACACACATGCCAAACAATGTCGAATAATTTGTCGTAGAGAACGCCCTATATTTCATTGTACATTGTGTATGCACAACTCAATTATAAATTACATTCACCAGTGGTGCTGGTTTTTACCTGGCACCCATAGAGTACAAGGGTTGTACAACTTAGTGACAACAGAAATATATTTTAGAGCTGGATCTTCAAAATGAAAACACACTGATCATGTTTATTGAATCTTTTAAACAACAAACCTGTGTTGCACAACATACTTCTAGCAACACTTGGCTAGCAACATATTCTTGTGCATTCCGTAATGTAAGAGTTAAACTTTTATACAAAGATGATGCAGCCATCCCTTAATTTAACCCACATGCTTTCGGTACCGGGTATTCCACAGTCGGCATCACTCCACTGCGGCTTTCTTGCATGTTTTTAGGAATTCCAACAAATAATTTATCTACATTTTATTACTCTCGCACTTGGTCTCTAATAAATCGCCTCCCCAATGTGAAGGTCGATTGTAATTTTCTCGAGTGAAATCAAATGAAACTAAACGAAAAGCAAATTATAAAGATTCTACAATGTCAGCGTGGCGTATGAGCAATTTGTTTTGGCCTCACCCAGCTCACAAAAGCAACAAGAAATATTCTACAAATATCATTTTGAGTCATAGCAGATAAGAAAAAATAAATAAATCTAATCCTTTTGTTTCAAATTTGCAATCTTTATATTTGCACTGCTTTTAGATGCTCTACTCATTTGGGATTTAACTAATAAGCCTGAGAATTTAGTTTTCACTTCCCTTAAAACCTTATAACTATTTCAAAATCAATTAAATATTAATTATATCTAAAATTCACTTATTTTGTTAAGTATTCCCTCTGTCCTATTTAGAGTCTCGTCAAAACAAACTTAACCTTTTAGACAGAGTTCCTGTTTTTAGCCCGGGTCGTCATCTGGGGACTCATAAATAGAGCTTAATGTTCTTTGATGCCAGAGCCGAAAAGCTTTCCCTCACTCTACGCTGGGCAACATACAAACCGAATATAAATACACACATAATGCGGCACTAATACATAGTTTTGGCGAGTCTATATATAACAATGTTTAACCTTAACATATAGCAGACACCTTCAAATGAATTTTTCTCGAAATATAAAAATAAATATGTGTACCCGATAGATCGTGTGGATATAGGTTTGCTCTCGCATGATTTTGCAGCTGAAATCTGTATCTACATAGTCTACGGCCAGCTAGGGTCTGATCGGCTCAGCTCCCCAAAGAACCGACATCGGCCCACGCAAATGAACTTGAAAATTAATTGTTTCTGCAGCCCCACAATTGCAGATCGGGAGTGTTCCGGAGAAGGGGAAGACATATAGGCTATATGAACATATATTCGGGCGATGTGTACATTCGCTCAATGCCAGCGGGGGTTGGCTTTCCACAATTTATTTGGCTTTCAGACACTATGTGCATTCTAAACAGATTCTGTTTATAATTTCATTAAAATTGAATGCCAGACTGGAAAATTGAGAAAAAAAGAAGGTAGATCTCTTGGCATATTTTCCTTCCCGTATTTTACACATTATTTTCCAAATACAAATACTTTGCTTTCATCTTCTTAATCCCCAAGGACACAAGGGTCAATGCAGTTAAGGCTACAAATTAGTGTCTATTTATATGGAAATGGCAAGAAGCTGACCTTGAATTCTGTCGCAAACTTGGCTGCTGATGGATTGATGATGATGGCCAGACAAACTGGCAAAACGGGAAAAGATGCTCTAACGCTTGTGTCACTTTTTGGCTTATATAGACAGAATATTGCTCTGCTGACACTTTGAGTTAAAAGCTGCCGCTTCTAAAAATATGTTCCGAATGCCATTAACGGTTAGTAAACGACCTGTCCGGAGGCCACCCACTTGTGATTTACTTCCGGCGCAGTAACCGCCCCCTTTTCAGGGCTCAGATCATGCGTTTATCAATAGTCCGCTGACGTCACAGACATACCGCCCGTACATCCTGTTTATTATTTTTGACTACCAGTGTATACAAATGAAAATATCCATTTTATTCTCGATTTGCATTCCATTCATGAAACGCTGGGGAAGAGCGAGAGAGCCCCAAACAAATATGTAATAAAATATATATGTACATATACATATATACACAATTATACGAAGTATATGAATAAATATTACTCAAGTCTATTTGGCCCACAGATGACAACACAAATGTGGACAATGTTTTGATATGTTTGGCACAAGTGTTTCGCCGTATAATTTTTTTATGGGGGTGTCTACTGATCAATGCCAAAATGCTAGAAGGTCGAAACAGAAAGTTTCTCTACATTTTCTGGGTTGTTTTTATTCTGGTGTGACAGTTGCTTTTTTTCCCCCATCTAATTTTTAGCTTGTTCTTTGTCGTGTACTTTGGGTGTTCTTTCAACATCGCTGTATCTTATAGATATTTGAAACACATATGTACATATATCACAAAGATTTATCTGAGCGTTTATCTATGTATAAAAGGAAGGCAAGAAAATATACAGTCTACAGGAAAAAACAAACATAAAAATCGAATTCAAAGCAGAAGTTGACGTCAAGGGATATAGCTTTCTTTGTTTATATGAAATTTCATATTTAATTAAGTTTGGAAAATCAAAATGGATGAAATATATTCCTAAACTTTATTTATATAAATAATAATTGAAATATATTGTTGTTTGACATATTTGTTTTTTGAAGAAACTAGGAGAAAAGTAAAGTATTAAATTAGTAAGTAAACTACACAATTATTATGTTAGTCATTAAGAATGGGATTTAGACAACCGAATAATATTATTATATCCTATTAGGATTCAAAGCCTAAGCACTCTTTGAACCCAAAATAACCCCAACTTCACTCTTGCCTTTAAAATATCAACGCAACAAATTCTAATAAATTGGCCTGATATGCATAAATTTATGATTTTATTCCTGATTTGCCACCGGGCGATTTATGTGCCAAGGGATAATGGCCATGTTCAAAGCGCATGAAATGACTTTGTGACACAACAAATGGCAATAAGCCATAAACAATCCGCACCGTGAATTATGGGTGCG